GAGCAAGGCCCCTGATTAGCTGCCGGCAAGGCAGCGGGCCGCAGCGAGCCCGCCGAGCCTCTAGCGACGGCAGCCGACAACTGAGTAGCGACAGTCTAGCAGTTGGAGGCAGATGCTCTCTTTAGTGCCAGAAGAGTTAGCTTCTGGCACCGTAACGCACTCCTCACAGCTTTGAAAGAGGGAACAGGGCGTACAGCCCTAAAGCATATTTTATTACCCTAAAGCCTAGACCCCCGTCCTTCCAATTTAAAAATTAGGATTTAGGATTTAGGATTTAGGATTTAGGATTTAGGATTTAGGATTTAGGATTTAGGATTTAGGATTTAGGATTCAGGGGCCTCTCTGGGGAGGCCCGGCTTCGTAATTTAGTATTCGGGCGAGGCCCGGCTTTGTAATTTAGTATTCTGGGGAGGCCCGGCTTCGTAATTTAGTATTCCGGGTAGGCCCGGCTTCGTAATTTAAAATTGCGGGGAAGCCAGGCTTCGTAATTTAGTATTCCGGGGAGGCCCGGCTTCGTAATTTAGTATTCCGGGGAGGCCCGGCTTCGTAATTTAGTATTCCGGGGAGGCCCGGCTTCGTAATTTAGTATTCCGGGGCGGCCCGGCTTTGTAATTTAGTATTCCGGGGAGGCCCGGCTTCGTAATTTAGTATTCGGGGAGGCCCGGCTTCGTAATTTAATATTCCGGGGAGGCCCGGCTTCGTAATTTAGTATTCCGGGGAGGCCCGGCTTCGTAATTTAGTATTCCGGGGAGGCCCGGCTTCGTAATTTAGTATTCCGGGGCGGCCCGGCTTCGTAATTTAGTATTCCGGGGAGGCCCGGCTTCGTAATTTAGTATTCGGGGAGGCCCGGCTTCGTAATTTAGTATTCCGGGGAGGCCCGGGGACTTGCTTCCTCTTGGCTGGGAGGGGGCCGTTTTGGTCAAAAATCCAGAAAACGAGAGCCCACCCGGGACCGTCGATTTCAGTACTAAAAAATCACATTTTAAATAGGGACCCGGGCCGATCCTGGGGTACCCCTCATTTGGGGTGTTTTTGGAGGCAAACTTTCCCTCTCAAGGGGGGGTCGGAGTTTGAGGCAAGGGGGGGTCTCCGAAGACTATTTTGCCTTTAAAATTGAAAAATACCACCCCCCCTTGACCAAAACTAGGCTGTGAAAAGGTCGCGGGGGCGGCCCTTCTGAGGCTTAAAAACACTGAAAAACATTGAAAAACCTTAAAAAACATTGAAAAACTCTGAAAAACTTTGAAAAACCTTGAAAAACTTGCAATCCTGAGGTGAAAGCTCCGTTTTGGTCAAAAAACCCAGAAAACGAGAGCCCACCCAGAACCGTCGATTTCAGTACTAAAAAATCGCATTTTTAATAGGGACCCGGGCCGATCCTGGGGTCCCCCTCATTTGGGGTGTTTTTAGAGGCAAACTTTCCCTCTCAAGGGGGGTCGGAGTTTGAGGCAAGGGGGGGCTTCGTAATTTAATATTCCGGGGAAGCCCGGCTTCGTAATTTAGTATTCCGGGGAGGCCCGGCTTCGTAATTTAGTATTCCGGGGAGGCCCGGCTTCGTAGTTTAGTATTCCGGGGAGGCACGGCTTCGTAATTTAGTATTGCGGGGAGGCCCGGCTTCGCAATTTAGTATTCCGGGGAGGCCCGGCTTCGTAATTTAGTATTCGGGGAGGCCCGGCTTCGTAATTTAGTATTCCGGGGAGGCCCGGGGACTTGCTTCCTCTTGGCTGGGAGGGGCCGTTTTGGTCAACCCAGAAAACGAGAGCCCAACCGGGACCGTCGATTTCAGTACTAAAAAATCACATTTTAAATAGGGACCCGGGCCGATCCTGGGGTACCCCTCATTTGGGGTGTTTTTGGAGGCAAACTTTCCCTCTCAAGGGGGGGTCGGAGTTTGAGGCAAGGGGGGTCTCCGAAGACTATTCTGCCTTTAAAATTGAAAAATACGACCCCCCCTTGACCAAAACTAGGCTGTGAAAAGGTCGCGGGGGCGGCCCTTCATCATAATTGAGGGTTACAAACCCAAAAACCATAAAAAAAAAAAACTGAAAAACGCTGAAAAACCTTGTAAAACTTGAAAAACTTGAAATCCTGAAACCGGTGAGGGCTCGGTTTTGGTCAAAATCCAGAAAACGAGAGGCCACCCAGAGGCGTCGATTTCAGTACTAAAAAATCGCATTTTAAACTGGGACCCGGGCCGATCCTGGGGTCCCCCTCATTTGGGGTGTTTTTGGAGGCAAACTTTCCCTCTCAAAGGGGGTCGGAGTTTGAGGCAAGGGGGGGTCTCAGAAGACTATTTTGCCTTTAAAATTGAAAAATACGACCCCCCCTTGACCAAAACTAGGCTGTGAAAAGGTCGCGGGGGCGGCCCTTCATCATAATTGAGGGTTACCTCTTGTTGGGTTTTTTGAAGCTTTTTGAAGCCGCTAAACGTTCTTGTACACAGCGGCGCCACAGAGCGCAGCGACAGCGAGCGATGGTGCCATGCTCCGAGCGCGATTTTGGGACCCACGTCCTGGCCCGTTCTGGCCTGTTCGGGCGGCTCCTCCCGGACAGTTTCTGGGCTTTTTGGGCTCCTCGCGCACAGTTTCTAAGCTTTTTTCCCGGAGAGTTTCCGAGCCTTCAGCGGCGCCACAGAGCGCAGCGACAGCGAGCGATGGTGCCGCGGCCCCGAGCGCGATTTTGGAACCCTCCGTCTTGGCCTGTTCTGGCCTGTGGAGGCCCGGCCTCGTAATTTAACATTCCGGGAGGTTCGGGGTGCCCAAAACCATCGATTTCAGTACTAAAAAATCGCACTTTCATTGCGGGCCAGGGCAGATCCTGGGGCCCCCTCTTGTTGAGGGTTTTTTGAAGCTTTTTCAAGCCTTTTCAAGGCTTTTTTTGGTGCCTCTAAACGTTCTTGTACACAGCGGCGCCACAGAGCGCAGCGACAGCGAGCGATGGCGCCGCGGCCCCGAGCGCGATTTTGGGGCCCGCGTCCTGGCCTGTTCTGGCCTGTTCGGGCGTCAAGACACAACGTATAAACATACTGCTGCCCTCTGCTTCACTTGTCCTTTTGATTTATATTCAAATTGCTGTATATTATTAAAAAATATCAACTACAGGAGAGAATACAAAGCAACGAGCGAACTATCCCAAAAAATAAACCCTAAACCCTAATAGAGTAAGGTTTGGGTGGTCTTGGGGTGGGTTTTTAGCTTTCGCGCGACGCGCCGCCCACGACCCCTTGGGTCGAGGCGCGTCGCTTCAGTCAGCAAACCCTAAACCCTAAACCCTAAACCCTAAACCCTAAACCCTAAACCCTAAACCCTAAACCCTAAACCCTAAACCCTAAACCCTAAACCCTAAACCCTAAACCCTAAACCCTAAACCCTAAACCCTAAACCCTAGCCGAGGTGCTTGCGCGGGAGGCCGCGGCCATGATGATGACCCGCCGAACGGAGGTGCCATCCATCACAAAGATGGGGGTTTAGGGTTTAGGGTTTAGGGTTTATTGGGGGCTCTTTTCTAGTATTTTGGGGTATATTTTGGGTTACCCTTAATTCCGGAAATCCCCAGATTGAGGTGGTCTTAGGCTTTTGGGGCTCTACACCCTATTCCCCGCAATCTTGGGATGTTCACCCTTTTCCTGACAGTCCTTAATAGGGGTTCTAGTACCCCCGATGATAATCCACATTAAGGACCGTTAGTATAAGGGGGGGAACATCCCAACCCTAAGACCTAAAGCCCAAACACTAAATGCTGAAGCCAAGCTGTAGCCCTTAAGAGCCGGTTGCCCCGGTGCGTTGTCCCCCTACCCTGCATCCCACCTTGCGGATGTCAGGGCGGGAGGCAGGTGGGCAGAACAAGTTCATGCGACCTTTTTGTCTGCTTGAATCACCTTCTTCACTAAACCTTAAAGTCTGGGGCTGTGGGGTTGCCTTCATGTGGCGAAGGGCTTCAGTTGATTCAGTTGCTTTCCGGTATCTGCTTTGTGGCTTAGGGTCGCTGCCCGAAGCCGCAGGAGAGGATTTCGGACAGTCAGCTTTTTGGGTTCAGGGGTTCAGGGGTTTAGGGGTTTAGGGGTTTAGGGGCTTAGGATTTTGGAGCAGCCCGGGTAGTCTTGCGTCTACAAGCGCGAATCCTAAGTTCGAACAGCATTTCAAAGCAGGTCAACAGTTGCCCCGGTCTGCTGCAGCGATTGGAATCGCCTCATGGCAGGGATCGGGTGCCATAGTTTAGGGGTTTTAGGTGTTTGGGTTTCGGGGGTTTCAAGGTGTTTGGATGTGTTGGTTTACGAAACTTGGGGACCCCTAAAATAGACCCCAAATCATAGGATTCCCTTGTAGTAAGGACACCAATAAGGTACTCCCGTGTCCAGAACTCCCCATGTCGGTTAGGGCTTGCAATTGGTGCATGAGATCGCGTGGCAAATCTGATGACAGGAGACATCGTTTTCACCCCTTGTTTGCTGTATTTCAGGGCCATATAAATGCCGCTGAACGGCCTTAAGCCCTGAACCCCAAACGGCCCAAAACCCCGAAACCCTAAGACATCTGTCCTTGACCTCAGGAGATACACTAGCTCGGAGCTATTCCAGACGTGTGAGGCCACTGTGGTGTGGACTACAGTTGGGGCAGTACTTCGATTTCTTTGGAGGGTTCTGGGTTGAGGTGTTTCGGGGTTTGGGGTTGAGCCAGCGTGGCATGTAGGGTTCAGGGTTCTTGCAGTTGCAGTATGCGTGACGCTGTCTCTATGAAACAGCTCGAAATGAGGTACAGGTACAGTCCGGAGCTTGTAGTCCTTCCTGCCCAGCCCTACTTCAAACCTTCTAGAGAACTTGCTACGAGCCCTTGGATGTTTCGGCTCTTTCTTGAAGAGTGCTCAAGGTGACAGGTGACCTAGAGCCTCGGCCACTCGATGTGGTCGCATCACCGATGAAGCGTCTGGCTGCTGCTTCGTTTGGGATGCGGGCCTGAATTGTGAGCTGCTGGCCGCCTCGGGGGCGATGATTCAACATCACCATGGCTGCGGCTGACTTGGACGTAGCTGACTCTTGCTTCTGTACGCTGCTCTGCTGTGGAGAAGCCAGAGCAACAGCAGCGGCCGTTGTTGATAGTAGCCCCTGGCAGACGACCATTGCCTGCCCGGCTGAATGTGGGATCACGGCTTCAGGCTCCTTCGTTGACGGCGGGGTGCAGCTTGCTTGCAGAGAGCTCAGTTTTGCCGAAGCACTGCCTCACTCAGAATCGACCCAAAGCATGAACTCCCAAATCTGACCGTTGGTTAGTAGGGAATGAGGGAATGAGCTACCCTACATCCCCCTATATATACCCTGTAAGGGATTGTATAGGGTACCTCATTCCCTCGTTCCCTACTAACCAACAGTAAGAACTCGCCGGATGCATGCACGAGGTCCAGAGTTTGACGTGGCTTGCGAGGCCGAGGATGGGGAGCCCAGGAGCAAGAAGAGCTTACAGCGACGACGACTCCACCACCCCTAAGCCCTATAAGCCCTGAGCCCTTAAGCCCTTCAGCCCCGTGAAGCAGTAAACCCCCTAGGCTCCCAAAAGCCTACCCCGGCCAAAACCCTAAGCCCCAACCCCCTACAAACTCCACAGGGCGTCCAAGGCCCGAGGCAGCATTTAACCCCACACCCAAAAACACCCTAAACCCTAAACCCTAACACCCTAACACCCTAACACCCTAACACCCTAACACCCTAACACCCTAACACCCTAACACCCTAACACCCTAACACCCTAACACCCTAACACCCACCCTAACACCCTTAACACCAAAGCTGAGCCCTGAACCTCTCGAGCCCCCCGTAGAGTCCAGCGACTGAAGCCCTCAGGACAGTCTACGATTGACAGCTCTGCTGTTCCTTAGGGCAGTTGAGGGTTTAGGGGCTGAGAGTCTACGACCTGAGACGCTACTACGTTGGAGCCTCTGCCCTAAACCCTAAACCCTAAACCCTAAACTCTAAACCCTAAACCCTAAACCCTAAACCCGAAACCCCAAACCCCAGTAACTTAGTCGGTAAGACACCTCCAGGAGCTGCCGAGTGGTTTTCTACACCGTGGACCCCCAAAGCGTGGTTCCCTGGCGAAAAGAGCTCCACGCAGAGTTTACGGCTTGGGGCTCGGGGTTCAGGTTGGGATGCTCCCTCTTGTATGAACAGTCCTTAATCGGGTTTAGGGTTTAGGGTTTAGGGTTTAGGGTTTAGGGTTTAGGGTTTAGGGTTTAGGGTTTAGGGTTTTATAATAGGGCGTACTAAGGGGGAACATCCCGAGGTTCAGGTGGAGTGTTCTGGGCGTTTAGCTTTTGTATGTTTTTGCAATTTATTGGGGGCGGGGGTTATAGGGCTTTCAAATCACGGCGGGAGCCTCCTCAACACCCAGCCCTAATTCCAAGTGCAAGATCGTGCTCGAATCTTCGAGAATCAAAACCTCCATTTTGCAACGCTTTCGGCCTTCTCGCAAAGAAAAGCCCCAGATCCTCGCAACAAAGTCCAAAGTTCTCGCACATGTGGGGATTTTTCGCAAGAGGTCACATCTTCGCGACAAGCGCGCCCGTTTTTCGCAAACAAATTCAGCTTAGTTTTGAACGTTCGCGTCGCCTCTCCACACGCACCCAGGCGAAATTTGAAAGCCCACAAGTGTCAGACCTTTTGTAGCCAAAAATGGCTTCAGCATTTTCATGTTTCAGGGGTTGGGGTTGAGTGGTTGAAGGAGCCTAAACACCCTGCCCTATAGGCCCTAAACCATAAAGCCCCAACGTCAAGGCTTCAACCCTAGAACGACCGAAGCCAAGTTGCAGAATGGCCCAGGAGCCCAGCCAAGTACTACAGATAGGCCCCTAAACCCCAAATCCTAAACCCCCCACAAGCAACCAACCCTAAACCAGCAAAGCAGGACGAAGCCCCTCCAGCTTCACCGAAAGGTGCCCGAACAGCTGCCCGAAGCACGGCAGTTTCGAGATCTACGTGGGCAGGTTGGGGATTTCAGAGGTTTGGGCTTTTGGGGGGGGCCCCGGAACCTTGGACTAAACCCTGAGCCCCTGAACCCATAAACCCTAGCCCCTGAACCCCTAAACCCTAAACCCTAAACCTTAAACTCTTGCTTCTAGCCAGCCACGTAGCTGTTAGGGTTTAAGGTTGGAGGTGGGCTCTACCATCATTTACTATGGGATTTGCGCTACCACCGTGGGCCCTCCGTTACAGCTCCGTTACAGCACCTGCTACAGTTCCGTTACAGCTCCGTTGCACCTCCGTTACAGCTCCGTCACAGCTTCCGCTAGAGCTCCGTTACAGTTACAATTCCGTTGCAGCTCCGTTACAGCTCCGATGCACCTCCGTTACAGCTCCGTCACAGCTTGCGCTAGCGCTCCGTTACAGCTCCGTTGCACCTCCGTTACGCTAAACGTCGTTCCTTTTTTGTTGAACGCTCGTTTGTGTTTTAATCTGCATACGCATTAAACCGTGTGCTCCGCCTCCGCAAAGTCTGAGCCTCAGATTCCCTCATAACTCGGCATTGCATAGCATCGCTTGCTTCAAATGTTTGTACCCACCCTTTCCCGCCCTTGCTTTCATTGCATCAAGCACGCACTGCATATGCATTGAAAAGCGGTTTTCTTGTTAACTTCGATCCGCTCTTTCTGTACCGGGGGGCTTGGGGCTGCAAAGCACCTCGTCCCTACTCGATGCATCGCACTGCAGCATTCTTCAAGCATCCCATGCGAAAAGAAGTGCGAGGGTCCGAGCAACTTCTGCTGTGAGTAGTTTGAAGGAAGATGTCAGACTTAGAACAGCTCCGTTACAGCTTCCGTTACAGCTCCGTTGCACCTCCGTTACAGCTCCTTTACAGCTTCCGTTACAGCTTCCGTTACAGCTCCGTTGCACCTCCGTTACAGCTCCATTACAGCTTCCGTTACAGCTTCCGTTACAGCTCCGTTGCACCTCCGTTACAGCTCCGTTATTACAGCTTCCGTTGCAGCTTCCGTTACAGCTCTGTTACGGCTTCCGTTACAGCTCCGTTGCACCTCCGTTACAGCTCCGTTACAGCTTCCGTTGCAGCTTCCGTTACAGCTCCGTTGCACCTCCGTTGCAGCTCCGTTACAGCTTCCGTTGCAGCTTCCGTATACAGCTCCGTTACAGCTTCCGTTACAGCTCCGTTGCACCTCCGTTACAGCTCCGTTGCACCTCCGTTACAGCTCCGTTGCAGCTTCCGTTGCAGCTTCCGTTACAGCTCCGTTACAGCTTCCGTTACAGCTCCGTTACAGCTTCCGTTACAGCTCCGTTGCACCTCCGTTACAGCTCCGTTATTACAGCTTCCGTTGCAGCTTCCGTTACAGCTCTGTTACGGCTTCCGTTACAGCTCCGTTGCACCTCCGTTACAGCTCCGTTACAGCTTCCGTTGCAGCTTCCGTTACAGCTCCGTTACAGCTCCATTACAGCTCCGTTGCAGCTTCCGTTGCAGCTTCCGTTACAGCTCCGTTACAGCTTCTGTACAGCTCCGTTGCACCTCCGTTACAGCTCCGTTGCACCTGCGTTACAGCTCCGTTGCAGCTTCCGTTGCAGCTTCCGTTACAGCTCCGTTACAGCTTCCGTTACAGCTCCGTTACAGCTTCCGTTACAGCTCCGTTGCACCTCCGTTACAGCTCCGTTATTACAGCTTCCGTTGCAGCTTCCGTTACAGCTCTGTTACGGCTTCCGTTACAGCTCCGTTGCACCTCCGTTACAGCTCCGTTACAGCTTCCGTTGCAGCTTCCGTTACAGCTTCCGTTACAGCTCCATTACAGCTCCGTTGCACCTCCGTTACAGCTCCGTTACAGCTTCCGGTACAGCTCACTAATGCAGCTCCGTTACAGTTCCGTTGCACCTCCGTTACAGCTCCTTTACAGCTCCCGTTACAGCTTAGTTGTACAGCTCCGTTACAGTTGCGTTACAGGTCCGTTACAAGTCCGTTATCAAGTTGCTGCTTCTGCTACGGCTCCGTTACAGCTTCCGTTACAGCATCGCTACAGCCGGTAACGTTCCGTTGCAGCCTTCCGATACGGCTCCTTTACAGCTCTGCGACAAATCCTTTACAGCTCCGCTCCTTTCCGTTACAGTTTCTGTTATAAGCCCCGTTACCGGCGAGCATTTCTGTCATAGTAGAGGCCTGCAGATGACGGTAGAGCCCCGCCCCAAGTTTAAGGCTTGGGGGCTCGGGCCTTTAACTCCTAAACTCTAAGCCGCTAACGCCTAAGATGCCCTAAGAAACATGCAACCCTAAAAGCCCCAAGAACTTTAAACTCCAAAGAAGCCTAGACCCTAAACCCTATAAAGCCCTAAACCCAAAGCCTAAAACGAACCTGCGAGGTGACTCGTCCCTTTGCGCAAGCCTTGGCCGAGTGCTACTACGGCGCGGCGGAGATGGACGCCCTTCACGTGACTTGGGTGTTTAGGGTGTTTGGGGTGTTTAGGGCGTTTGGGGTGTTTAGGGTGTTTAGGGTGTTTGGGGGTGTTTAGGGTGTTTGGGGTGTTTAGGGTGTTTGGGGTGTCGGGTTTAGGATCTTTAGAACACCCCTCAAAGACACCCTTACAAGACCCTAATCCCCGAAGCCTAAACCCTAAGACCGCGAGGTGTGCCATTGTTTTGGGAATCATGAACGGACGCTGGGTGCTTCCCTTAGTCCCCTTGGGTTTAGGCTACTGAAAACCCGAGAACTCTAGATCCCTAAACCTTAGACCCTAAACCCTGATCAAGCGGCTGCACTCTCCGACAAGACCAGACCCTTGCACCGATAAGGTTCAGACCATGGTTCCTGGACAGGAGGCAGTTGGCTACTACGAGGTGGCCATAGGTGACTCGGAAGGCCCTTGGGGAAAACTCTACAACTCCCTTTTGTTGGGATGAGGAGTATTCAGGGGCCAGCCTAGGTGAAGAGAGGTCCCTCTTCCTGCACAACAGCTTGCTCCTCCTCCCCAACTTCCTCAGCCACGGCGACTGCCACTCACTGCGGGCGGCCGCCGATCAGCGGCTCGCGCAACCCGAGGCCGCCAAGCAAGTTTCTCGAGCGTCGGATGGGCTTCTTGGCGGCAAGAGTGTGGGTTTTTTGGCGCAGGGTTTTGGGCTTCAGGTTCAGGAGCCATGCCCATGTGTGTTCATACTCCCCATATTTGAAGCCCCCAGGCAAACCCCACAACCCTAAAGACGAGACTCATCGTGGACCCTAAAGCACCCTGAACTGCTGAACGCTATTTAGTAGAGGAGCCGAAAAAATTGCAAAGCTTATCTCCTAGCTACAGCCCCCAGGCCCGCCCTTCACCAACCCCCCCCCCCCCCCCTTACACTACCTAAGACCCGAAACCCCGAACCAAACCCTAAAACCTGAGCCTGAACCTGAGCCGTTAACCCTCCCCAACCCCCTAAACCCTAAACCCTAAACCCTAAACCCTAAACCCTAACCCTAAACCCTAAACCCTAAACCCTAAACCCTAAACCCTAAAACCTAACCCTAAACCCTAAACCCTAAACCCTAAACCCTAAACCCTAAACCTAAACCCTAAACCCCCCCCCCCCCCACCCGCCCCCACCCAAGGTACGCTGCATGCAGGGAGGGCCTGGACCGGTTGCCAGTTGCTGAGCTCGGCCCGGCAGCACAGGCACCGCGCTCATTTTTGGGTTTTGGGTTTAGGGTTTGGGGGTTTAGGGTATTTAGGGTATTTAGGGTTTAGGGTTTGGGGTTTGGGGTTTAGGGTTTAGGGTTTAGGGTTTAGGGTTTAGGGTTTAGGGTTTAGGGGGGGTTGGGTTTCACACAGGGGTTGAGGGTGCCTTAGGGGGTTCTAGGGCCTTCTGCCGGACTTTGTGTAGGTCTGTGGTGGCTTTCGCTTTGTCTTTTTGCTTGTATGTCGGGGTTTGTATAGAAGCCCAAAATCTTGCCTTCGGAATTTTGCTTAAGGTTCTTTTTTGGAGGGTCTCATATGCGTGTTGGCGTTAGGCGTGTGGGTGTTATATAGGTTTAGGGTTCTTGGCAGGCTAGGGATTAGGGCTTTGGGGGTTTTCTAGGGCTTTCGGGGTTTTCTGTTAAACGTTCGCAGCTTAAAAGGCTTCGGGATCTCGAGCTGAGGGCTCAGGCTTTGAGACTCAGTTCTCAGGGTTCAGGGGCCTCTAACCCCTGCACACCGATTCGGGTTTAGGGTTTAGGGTTTAGGGGTTTAGGGTTTAGGGTTTAGGGTTTAGGGTTTAGGGTTTAGGGTTTAGGGTTTAGGGTTTAGGGCCCTACACTCCCTAAACCCTAAGCTTTAAAACAGCTGGCTTTTGGGCAGGCCATCTCAGATCAGATCTTGGGCCGACTGCTTCACTTCTTCGAGTCCATACCGGCCTTAGCCCAGCAGATTTTCCAGAGGCCTCTCTCGGTGTTGGGGGGGGGGGGGGGGGTTTAGGGTTTAGGGGTTTAGGGGTTTAGGGGTTTAGGGGTTTAGGGGTTTAGGGGGTTTAGGGGTTTTGGGCTTTAGGGGTTTAGGGGTTTAGGAGTTTAGGGGTTTAGGCCCATTAGGGACGATTAGTATGAGGGGGGACATCCCGATGTTCGGGCGTTTAGGCGTTTGGGGTTTAGGGGTGTGGGGCTTAGGGTTTCGGGTTGCACGGGGGCTCTTGCTGACAGTTTCGGGGCTTAAGGTGTAGGTGTTGGGTTAAGCCGTAAACCCTAGACCCTAGACCCTAAGCTCTAAACCCAATGATGTGAATGCGAAATAGCCTCAACCCGAAACCCTTCAACCCCTAAACCCCTAAACCCCTAAACCCTCAACCCCAAAAGGCCCCCGAAACGCCCCCGGAGCCTTCGCCCCAAAAGCCTAAAGCTTACAACTCTCAAAGACACCCTTAGCATCCTTCAGCGCTAACCTTAAGAACCCGCGAACCCAGGAACCGTGAACCCCTAAACCCTCAACACCTGAAAACTGAAGCACCTGACACCTAGACCCTAAATCCTGGACCCTATATCCTGGACCCTAAATCCTAAACCCGAAAACCCTTAAGCCCCAAAACAAACCCCTAAGCCCCTAAGCCCCTAAACCCCTAAACCCCAAAACCCCCAAAACCCCCAAAACCCCTAAACCACCAAACCCCTAAACCCACGGGAGGTCGGAGGGCCTCGCGAAGCTGCGATTCACCTTTGCGTCGGGCGAGCCAGCGGTGAATCGCTATGAGGAGGGCTCGGGGCTTTCGGGGGTTCTGGGTTTTCGGGTCTAGGGTTCAGGGTTTAAGGGTTTCAGGGGTTTAGGGTTCTCGGGTTTCGGTACTTGATAGGAATGTGAAGGTGGTGATTTTGAGGGGGGAATGTGAAGGTGGTGATATAGAGGGGGGATGTAATCCCCTCGTTCCCTAATTCTTCCAGGCTGGGGGAGGCTTCGGCCCCCACACGGACAAGGAGATGGCAGCTGGGCCCAATCGGAAGGGTTTAGGGGGTTCCGTTTAGGGTTTTTATGCGGTTTAGGGTTTAGGGTTTAGGGTTTAGGGTTTAGGGTTAGGGGTTTAGGGTTTAGGGTTTAGGGTTCAGGAAATCTGCGACAGGGGATGGCATGGGAATCCCCTCAATCCTACACCCTAGACCCTAGACCCGAAACCCTAAAAGAAGCAAACGGAGTGTAGGATGTAGGAAGGATGTAGGAATGCATGTGCGTGCCAGTGCAGAAGGAGCCTTTAGCCTCGCAAAACACCAGAACCCCCAAAACCTAAACATCCTATACTAAAGCCCAAGCCTCCAAACCTGAAGTCAACCCAGTCTCATGTAATATCCTATCATACCGTATAGTACAGTTTCGTATGTTGTATATACGGTTTAGTTTCACATAATGCCGTCTAGCAGAACAAGGTGACAAATGAAAGCCCCGAACCCTGAACTCCCAAGCCTGAGGGGTTGGCTTCCCAGGAGCTCTGACCTCAGAAGCCCGCTGAGCCTCCTGCCTACCTGCTTAGGCCTGCCCAAGATCCAAACAATCCCTCAACCCCCCCCCCAAACCTTCCCAAACCTCCCAAACCTCCCAAACCTCCCAAACCTCCCAAACCTCCCAAACCTCCCAAACCTCCCAAACCTCCCAAACCGCCCAAACCGCCCAAATCGCCCCACCCCCCTCCCCCCTCCTCCTCCCAAACACCCGAACCCCCAATGAGGGCTTTCCAGGGTAAACCTCTTACCAGAGGTTGGGATGGCAACCTCCCTAATTCTGGTTTAGGGTTTGGGGTTTAGGGTTTAGGGTTTAGGGTGTAGGGTTTAGGGTTGAAAAGGTTACGGTGAACATCGTTCTTTCCGAGCCTGACGCCTTCTCTGGCGGGGGCACGATGTTCTGGCCGGAAGGGGCCTCGGTGGAGGCCGACTCACTGCTTTGCCGGTCCTTCCCAAAACAGGATCCCTTTTTAAATATGCACACCCTACGTAGTATATGTAGACACACACACCCCAAGCATAGCCTAACCCCTTTGTATAGTGAGCTCCCCCAAAATTGAGAAATGCCCCACATTTGCTGTTCGTTTCATCTGATTGCTAAGGTGTTTTATTTTTCAAGTCCTGAATCCTCCAGCCATGGGAAGGCCTCGAGGCCGAAAACATCCCCACCAGAAAAGCCTAAACTTCCGCCCAGAAGCTTACAGGGTCTTTCACAAGCATCTTTATAGGCAAACTCCGTGATACGTGGAGGCATGTGCGCCACCCCTAAACCCTACGCCCTGAACTCTGAACTCTGAGCTCTGAACCCTGAAACCTGCGAACTATCATTATTCTTATTCTTCTTGTTTTAGAATAACTACTACTATTCTTCTTCTTATTGTTGTTATTGTCAGTGTTCTTCTTCTTCTTCTTCTTCTTCTTCTTCTTATTGTTATTCTTATTCTTATTCGTATTCTTATTCTTATTCTTATTCTTATCCTTATTATTTTTATTATTCTTATTCTTCTTATTCTTCTTATTCTTATTCTTATTCTTATTCTTATTCTTATTCTTATTCTTATTCTTATACTTATTATTATTATTGTTGTTGTTATTATTATTATGATTATGATGATGATGATTATTATTTTCATTCTTCTTATTGTTATCATTCTTCTTCTTTATTAATATGATTATTATTAGTATTATTACTATTATTGTGATTATGATTCATTATTGTTAGTATAAATGCTCGACCCACAGCGAAGGAGTTGGTGCTCCTTCGCCCGCAGAAGGGCGTGGCCGTGCTCTTCCACGGCCAGCTGAAGCACGCGGGCAGGGCGGTGACGCTTGGGCTTAGGGTTTAGGGTTTAGGGTTTAGGGTTTAGGGCTTAGGGTTTAGGGTTTTTGTAGATTCTACAATCAGGAGCCTAAAAGCCAAACTTTTAGGAGGGGGTCAGAAGTCAGCCGAGGGCGCGCGGCCTGAGGCATCTCTACGTGGCAAGCTTCAGTCTCACGGGCCCTTAAAGCCAAAAGAACCCGAAAGCCCAAACCCTCAACCCTGAAGCCTAAACGCTAAACCTAGACCCTAAACCCTCAACCCTCAACCCTAAACCCTAAACCCTAACCTTAAACAGTCCGAACCCCGGAAGCCCGAACCTCTAAATCCTCAGGGCAGGGGCCGGGCAGGAGTCTTGAGCTCTCACGCGAAAAAGATCACAGACTCATGTTTAGGGTTTGGGGTTTAGGGTTTAGGGTTTGGGTATCCTAAACCCCAGACCCTAAACCCTAAACCCGAAATTGCCAAGCATGGGCTTTTTATTGTGCGTCCTAAGCGAGAAAGATGCTGCATAAGGGGACGCCAGGCTCCCGTTTATCTTCTCCAGTCCATGTCTATTTACGCTTCAGGTTTCAGGATTTCGGGTTGCGGTTGCGGGCCTGAGGGTTTCAGGTTTCGGGTTGAGGGTTCTGGGTCGAGGGTTCAGGGTTTGGGGTTTAGGCTTCAAGGTCGAGGGTTTAGGGGCAAGCTTGCGCCTCTTGCTCAAGCTAGAGTTGCTTCAGATGGACGGGCATCCCACCGCATGGATGGCATGCAGCCGAGTGTGCTGGCCCATCTGCCCGAAGAGATTTTGCGCCTTCCAAATCTTCTGGTGCTGAAGAAGCCAGAGCCACAGCTGCACATGTTGGCGCCCTTGTGCTACTCTGGCGACCGGTAAAATCCTCCAAAGACACCGGACGAGTACAACAGCTGGTGGCTCTCAACCACTATTGCCTGACTCATCATAATGGCTGGAGGGGCAGGATGGGGCAGAGTGGGAAAGGTGGGGGAGGGTAAGAGAGAGTGGAATGGGGGAACGGGGGAGTGGAGGAGCGGAAGAGGGAAGTAGAAGTGGGTGGACTGCGGAAACTGGAGAAATGGGGAAGTGGGGGGCGGGGGAGACTTGGAGAGGGAGTGGAAGAGTGGGCGGGGGGAGTGGAAGTGGAGTGGGGAAGTGGCGAGATGGGGAGGAGTGAAAGTAAGGGAGGGCGAGGAAGGTGGGGGAGTGAGGGAGAGAGGAAGCGAGGGGTGGGGGAGTGGATGGGGGAGAGGAGCGGAGGGGTGAGGGAGTGGGGGAGTGAAGGAGTGAAACAGGGGGGAGTGGGGGATGGCTACCGTGGTTCGGTGTTTTGAAGCCCCCTCCCCCCCCCCCCCCACTTTTGTGCTACGAATGCCACATCTTCACAGTAACCTCAAGCCCTCCACGGCTAAATGTGCATCTCAGGATGGTGGCTGCTCGGCATCGATTGCAGAGGAGGGAGAGGTCGAAGGACGGAGGTTGTAGGAATCAGCATAGCTCGCGAGCAGGAATAGCCCTTGTATGCACCAAATGCCATAATCATAAATGCAGGACCCCCTCCCAATATATCAGCACTTATTTTCCGAAGCTTGGTCACTCCGCATCAGCTCCCTTGGTAGACTCGCCGGGGTCCCTCCTAAAACCCAAACATGGTTGAGCCCCACCAAGCCCCCCCCCCCCCCCCCCCCCCCCCCATGCCATGGGGGTCCGAGAACCCACAGTGCACAGCCATATATTGCAGGCATCTCGAGCCTGGACACCAACGGCCCACACGCCTCACATCCCAACAAGCCCACTTTGAGCCCTGAAGACCCACATCCTAAACACACCCAAGTCTTCAGGCTTCCTTTTCCTGCTGGGCACCTGCCACAAGACCCAGGGCTCCTGTGACCAGGCCCGGGCCCTTCCTAAACCCTAAACCCTAAACCCAAAACCCTAAACCCTAAACCCTGAACCCTGAACCCTGAACCCTAAACCCTAAACCCTAAAGTTCTGAAGACCCCCAAACCATCTGCGGGTTATTCGGGTTTAAGGTGAATGAAGCCAAGTTACCCCAATGACCCCAGCTAGACACCAATCGCCCTAATTTTCCTTCATAACCTTCATCATCCCAAGAGCCCCAAAAGCCCCAACAACCCCGATAAACCCTAAACCCTAAAACCTGAGACCTGAAACCTTAAACCCCCCAAAAAGGCCCCAGCCCACACATAGCCCTTCTGACCAACGAGCCTGGCACCCCAAAAGCCTCCGAGATGGCTGCGAAGTCCAATCCGCTCAGGTTCGGAGCCTGATACGGGCTGCGAGGCCAACAGTTGCCTCGCGGCCGCAGCTTCGGGGTTCCACTTAAAGTGTAGGGTTTCGGGTTTGGGGTTTGGGGTTTGGGGTGTGGGGTGTGGGGTGTGGGGTTTGGGGCTGGTTTAGGGTTCAAGGCTCCGGGGCTCGGGTTTTTTTCGGGTTTAAGAAGGCTCGGGGCTTGGGGCTTCAGGGCTTAGTTGGTTTGTGGTTCGCGGTCTGAGGTTCATGGCGTAGGGTGGAGGTGATCCCGCTGTGTGTCCGGGTTTGTCCTCCGAAGTCAGCGCTTTTGGGGAGGCTCAGGCCATTGTCAGATACAACTTTTTTCGCCTTTGGGCAGCTCCAGCTGTGAGTTGCACCGTTTTGAGTTGTTGGGAGACAGACGGCAAATCAGGATGTGCACAACCGCATGTGCTGGCTTTTGTGAGAGACACAGAAAGATGCGCATGAACAACACCTGTACATCAACGTGCGAATGCCTGGACCAGCCACTTGAAGGGGAGAGGGGTCATTTTGGAACGCGTAAGGGAGTCATTTTGGAACGCGTAAAGGGGTCATTTTGGAACGCGTAAAGGGGTCATTTTGGAACGCGTTTCTCTTGGTTTAGTACTGTTTACAAGGGATTTCTGGTTTCAATGGTTTCCTTGGTTTCCTTGGTTTCCTTGGTTCCCATGGTTTCCTTGGTTCCTATGGTTTCCATGGTTTCCGTGGTTTCTATGGTTTCTATGGTTTTCTATGGTTTCCTTAGTTTCCTTGGTTTCCATGCTTTCCTTTGTTTCTGTGGTTTTCATGGTTTCCGTGGTTTCCTTGGCTTGTGTGGTTTCCATGGTTTCCGTGGTTTCTATGGTTTTCTTGGTTTTCTTGGTTTCCTTGGTTTCCTTGGTTTCCTTGGTTTCCTTGGTTTCCTTCGTTTCCTTGGTTTCTATAGTTTCTTTGGTTTCTACGGTTTCCATGGTTTCCATGGTTTCCATGGTTTATATGGTTTCCATGGTTTCCTTGGTTCCTTGCTTCGTGGTGTCCATGGTTTCCTGGACTTGTGTTATATATATATATATATATATATATTGCTAGATATATATAGGTACTTATTTCATGGACGACATACATGTAAGAAATATATAGTATGTATATATACTCGATATATAGTCTACATAGTATACATATATAGCGTTTATAGTATATATAAATATGATATATAGGAGATACAGTACATACAGTATATATAGTAGATATAGTATATCTGGAATACATAGTACAGATAACAAACAAATATATATATATATATATATATATATATATATATATAGTACATCATATATATATATATATATGTGTATATTATAGTAAATATACTCTGCGTATGTCTATATATACATATACACATAGTATATAGAATATATATAGTTTATATAAGATATATACATATGCTACCCCCCCCCCCCTCCCCCCCCAACCCCCCCGCTTTTCTAAGCCGTGCAAACTTGCTTCAAAGCATATGAAACTTTTTGAAACACATCATGCAAGCATTGCGTTTGCAAATGGGGGGGGGGGGCTGCGCCCCCCCCTAACCCCCCCGCTTTTTTTTAAGCCGTGCAAGCTTGCTTCAAAGCATATGAAACTTTTTTTGAAACCCATCATGCACGCATTGTGTTTGCAAATGGGGGGGGCTGCGCCGCCCCCAACCCCCCCGCTTTTTTTAAAGCCGTGCAAGCTTGCTTCAAAGCATAAACTTTTTTTGAAACCCATCATGCAAGCATTGTGTTTGCAAATGGGGGGGGCTGCGCCCCCCCCAACCCCCCCGCTTTTTTTAAGCCGTGCAAAGCTTGCTTCAAAGCATATGAAAATTTTTTTGAAACCCATCATGCAAGCATTGTGTTTGGAAATGGGGGTGGGGGCTGCGCCCCCCCCAACCCCCCCGCTTTTTTTAAGCCGTGCAAGCTTACTTCAAAGCATGTGAAACTTTTTTTGAAACCCATCATGCACGCATTGTGTTTGCAAATGGGGGGGCTGCCCCCCCCCCCAACCACCCCCTTTTTTTAAGCCGTGCAAGCTTGCTTCAAAGCATATGAAACTTTTTTTGAAACCCATCATGCACGCATTGTGTTTGCAAATGGGGGGGGGTCTGCGCCGCCCCCAACCCCCCCGCTTTTTTTAAGCCGTGCAAGCTTGCTTCAAAGCATAAACTTTTTTTGAAACCCATCATGCAAGCATTGTGTTTGCAAATGGGGGGGGGGCTGCGCCCCCCCCAACCCCCCCGCTTTTTTTAAGCCGTGCAAGCTTGCTTCAAAGCATATGAAACTTTTTTTGAAACCCATCATGCAAGCATTGTGCTTGCAAATGAAAAACCTCCGCCGGTCCAAGGTCCGGGGTCCAAGGTCTAGGGTTTAGGGCTAGGGCTCAGACGCAGATGACGAATCGCAGTAGCGACTAGAGAGGAGCCGAAAAGCAGTATGACATGAGCCAGAAAATACGAAGCATCCAACAAAAGAAATCCTAATTCCTATGAAAAGTCGTATGAATCCTGAGAAAACAAAGAGGGAATGGTGGTTTTCTCTATGGAAATCCAAGCAAATGAGCCAGAAAATACGAAAAAATCTAACAAAATGAACCCGAGATCCTACGCAAAGTAAGTAGTATGAAATGGTGGTTTTCTTGATGGAAACTCAAGAAAATGAAGCAGACAATAGGAAGAATTCCAACAAATGAATCCGAAATCCTATGAACAAGTAGTATGAATCTTCAGAAAACGCAAAGGGAATGGTGGTTTCTCTATGGAAATCCATGAACATGAGCCAGAAAACAAAATGAATCCAAAATCCTATGACAAGTAGTATGAATCCTGAGAAAACACAGAGGGAATGCTGGTTTTCTCTATGGAAATCCAACAAAATGAACCAG